CACGCACCCGCACCTGCGCCCCGCCGCCCCCGCCGCTCAGGCTGTAGGTGTCCAAGCCCGACTCAGCCGCCAGAGAGCGCTCCACCGACACCGAGAAGTTGGTCGCTGGCCCCGGCCCCAGCAGCCGGGCCACGAGCGCCCGCACAGCCGCAGCCTCCCGGGCCTCGTCGCCGGCCGAGCCCGCGGCTCCCACCAGGAGCAGGAACCCCAGAGCCACAGCCACCGTCACCACCTCCATCGTCGCAGACGAGCGCGGATCCCGCCAACTACTACTGGGCGGGAGACGAGGGGCGGGGGGACCCGCGTCCAATCAGCTGCGGACCTTAGGCCACGTGGTACCTCAAGTGTAGCTAGGGTCGGCGGCCCGGAGGCTCAGCTTCCGCAGAGGCAGCGCCCTGGGGTGTTTTTTGACCCACCAGCTGGCGTAGCGCGTGAACCCAGCAACATCAAAGGCCCAGGCTGGCCCCGACCCTCCGCACTTCACAAAGGGGCTTCTAGCACGTTGCGCTTTCACACGCATGTCTCTTCCATCTGTCTAACCATCCAATAGTATTTGGAGTTTGTTTTGTAGCAGGCACTGCCATAGCTGCAAGCTACCACCTGGATAGAGGTTCCCGCCGTCCCTATCTGGGGGTGACTCAGAAACCACTTACATAAAGAAGGATTCACTTCCTAGTCGTGAATGCTGTGCGAAAGTGCAAAGGTACCCAGTCTAGGTTTTCCAAAAGGAAGTGGCATGTAACCTGAAACTCGAGCCAGAATAGGAGTTGGCTGGAGTTAGAGGGAGGGGAAGAGCCTTGCTGGGTAGGGGAAATGATAGGGCCCCCCTGCAACACGAAGAGCTTGGCTGATTTGAGGAACTAAGGGTTAGGAGGAAGCAGGGGTGGCCACGTGAGCCAGGCTGGCTGTCGGGCAGGGCGTGGTGGCAGTGAAGGGCTGTCTTTCCATCTGACCCTCAAGCGTCGGCAGCAGGACAGTATCTTCATTTCGCAGACCGGGGAGCTGAGGGCCAGGGGGAAGAAATATTTTGGACAAGCTCAATAATAATCAGGAGGGCAGCTCTGGGACTTGGACCTGGGACTCCTAACTCCCAGAGCAGGATTCCTGCCACTATTCCAAGTAATGCAACTTCTCGGGCTGCCTGAGGAAGGCAGGGAGGGAGTGCGTGGGCTGTGTGGGAGGCCAACTGGTGGCATGGTGGTCAAGGCAACGGGATCCCACATGGCCAACTGTGAGGTTGAGTCTCAGACCCAACGGCTGGAGAAACATGCTGGGCACGTGTGCATGAGTGCCCACAATCCTGAAAGGAGGAGGGAGGAACGGAGGAGAAAGGATTGTGTGGCCATCCCCTCTGGGAGGTGCTTTCTCACTATCCCTCTCTGTCTCTCTCTCTCCAGCAAGTGCCCTCTGACAAATTAAACAAGAGGCACCAGCAGGTGGTGTAGTGATTAATGTGCTGAACTCCCACATGGTTGACTGTGGTTTGAATCCTGGACCCAGTGGCTTGAAACTCATGCTAGGCACATGTGCATGTGTGTCCAAAAGGAGAAGGGGTTGAGGCGTGGCCATCCCCCATGGGAGGTGATTTCTTGCTTTGTGTCTCTCTGTCTCTAGCAAACACATATGTCCTATAGCAAAAATCTCTCAAAGAAAGAAAGAAACAAATGAAAAGACTGTTCTTTCTACAGAGATTCTGAGTCCTGTGGAGGCTGGTGCAGATTTTTCCAGATTGCCGGGCCTGAAAGTTTAGGGACAGAGGAGAAATCAGAGGGGCATGGTCTGGTTGAGAACTCAGAGCCTGGCCTGCTCCCCGGTCCCTGCCCCAGCTGCAGGCGCAAGCTGTAGGCTCCCACCCACCTTGTTCCCAACTCAGCAAGCAGCTTCTGCAAGAAGTGTGACCCCACGCCCCCACTCAGTTCCTAATATCGAGAGATTCTCAGCCTTCCCCAGGGAGCAGCTCCAGGTCTGGCCCAGAGGGGCCAGCAGATAGCACAGTGGTTATATCGCTGGACTCCCACATGGCCAACTGTAGTCTGAGTCCTGGACCAGGTGGTTTCAAAATCATGCTGGGCACATGTGCGTGCATGCCTGCCCAAGATCCCAGGAGGAGAATGGAAGAAAAGGGATTGGAGTGTGGCCATCCCCCCCGGGGAATGATTTCTCACTTTCCCTCTCACTGTCTCTGTCTCTCTGTCTCCAGTGAGCAAGCACTGGAGCCCTAAGGCAATACAAAATCTTAAAAAAGAAAAGTGCCCAGAGAGGTGCCCTGCCTTCTCCCTGCCCACTCCCCGGTTCCCCTCCAAAGCCTCTTGACTGCATATAAATTTTTTAAGACTCTTTCTCCTGTCACCCTGATATCAAGGGTAAACTAGGTTCACTCAGTGGTCATCACTGCAAACTAAATAAGAAAAGAAAAAGCTAAAAACAAAACCAAACCCACACAACCCCAGGATTATGGTGGAAGAAAGCACAGCTTTCTTGCCATATGCAAAGCATGGAAAGCAGGCAGCTACAGCTGAAAATCCTGGTCTCCCCAAGACCTACAGGCTGCATTTTTAAAAAAGAAATTATTTATTTACTTGTATTTATTATTTATTATTCTTCCATTTCACCAGAGAGAGAGAGGGAGAGCGAGAAAGCAAGTCACCAATTCTGGGACTTGAACCACAGTTAGCCATGTGGGAGTCCAGAGTCTTAACTACCATACTACCTGCTGGCTCCTACAGGCTGCATTTTTAGATTTATTTCTGCCATGGGTCATGTGTACTCCCTGGAAAGGAACAGAGAGAGAGGGCAGGTAAGAAATTACCCCCTATACGGAATGGCCAGGCTGCAATCCTTTCTCCTCCTTTTTCCCCTCAGAACTTTTGGGAGGATACGCACACATGCCCAGCGCGATTTCAAGTGGCTGAGTCTGGGTTTGGAACTGCACGGTCATGTGGGATCCGGTGCCCTAACCACCACACCACTTGCTGGCTCACAGGCGGCATTTTTTAAAAAAAGAATGATTTGGGACCAGCAGTTAGTGTAATGGCTATGTCGCTGGACTCCCACGTAGTCGACCGCGGTTCGCGTCCTGGACCCGGTGGCTTAAACTCACGCCGGGCGCGTGTGTGTGCTTGCCCAAGATCCCGAGAGGAGAGTGGAGGAGAAGGGATTGTGGCATGGCCATCCCCCCGGGGGGTGATTTCTCGCTTTCTATCTCTCTGTCTCTCTCTGTCTGTCTGGCGAGCGCATGCGCCCTATAGCAAAAACCTCTCCAAAAAAAAAAAGAAGAAGAAGAAAAAAAGAATGATTTAATTGTATTTATTATGAATGTTATTTTTCTTTTAAAAATTTTTATTTAACATTATTCATTTTTTTAAAAATTTGACCAGAGAGGGACAAAGTGAGAGAGAGAGAGAGAGAGAGAGGGAAAGTGAGAAAGCAAACCGCCAGGTCCACCTGCTGGCCCCAAGTATTATTTTTTAATTTGTTGTAGCCGAGAGAGAGAGAGAGAGAGAGAGAGAGAGAGAGAGAGAGAGAGAGAAAGGAAAATGAGAAAGCAAGCTGCCAGGTCTAGAACTTGAACTGCAGTCAGACACGTGGGAATCCAGTGCATTAACTACCATGCAACCTGCTGGCCCCAGGTGGCATTTTTAAAGATAGAATTAAGAGAAAGGGTGCGTGGGACCAGCAGGTGGCGTAGTAGTTAAGGTGCTAGACTCCAACGTGGTGACCAATCACATCAGGCAAGTGTGCGGGTGCCCAAAATCCCAAGAGGAGAAAGGAACAGAAGGAATTGTCACGTAGCCATTTTCCCTGGAGGGTGAATTTTCACTTTCTGTCTGTCTCTCTGGTGAGTATACTCGCCCTATAGCAAAAATTTCTTAAAAAAAAAAAATTTCTTGCAAAAAAAAGGAGTAAGGGTGGGCTCAGGGACATGATCATCTTGTGGGCTTTCTTGACTGGGAGGTCGTAGGTATTCAAGTTCTAACCTTGTGGGGACAAGGTCTTCTGGCACCCTCCAGGTGGGGTCTGTGTGTTCCCTATCTTGAAAAGTATCTTAAGTATTTGAATTAAAATCTTATCTTTACTTTCAATGGGGTTTTTAGCAGCTTATGGCTTAAATTGCTTAATTTACTGTTATTTCAACTACCCACAAATAGCAAGTGTCAGCAGTAATTTACTCTCTTATACTAGCTCCTGTTAGCTTGCAATTTTGAGAATTTTCTCAACAGAGGTCAAGGCCCTTTTAAAGGGTCTCTGCTCACTCCCAGGACCTGTTTTCCAGCATTTCTGGATCTTAGGGAACATATGGGTTGGGAGATTGAGCTGCAGGTCCACTGGAAGGCTCAGGGTGCCACCATCTGGGGTGCTTGGGGTTGCTGGTAGAGGCAGCAGGTTGGGGACCCATCCAGGAAGCTGGTAACACTTCCAGGGCCTGGGACCATGGGTCAGGGGCAAGAGCTTCACCAACTAACTTCCTACGGTTACAGTGACACTTCTTCCTTATTGGGCTGGGAATTCATGGTCAGTAGGGGATGGTTGAAGAAAATTAAGATAGGATGAACTGGGACCAGCAGTTGGTTTAATGGCTATGATGCTGGACTCCCATGTAGCCGGCTGTGGTTCGAGTTCTGGACCTGGTGGCTTTAAACTCATGCCGGACGCATGTGCGTGCATGGCCAAAATCCCGAGCAGAGAATGGAGGAGAAGGGATTGAGACATGGCCATCCCGCCTGGGGGGTGATTTCTCACTTTCTGTCTCTCTCTCTCTCTCTCGCTCGCTCGCTCTGTCTTTCTGGTGTGCACATGCGCCCTATAGCAAAAACCACTCAAAACAAACAAACAAACAAACAAAACAAAAGATAGGATGAATTATCAAGCATTAGTTTAAAAAGAAAAAGAAAAATGATGCTTGTGTTGATTTTGAATGTTGGGCAAGCTATGTTTTTTTTTTCTTTTTAAAGGTCGAACCAGTGAGTGTAATACACTGTCATTTGTGGAAAAGAAAAAGGCTCTGTAAACAGTAGTTGCCTCAGGTGGGGTACTGGTACCCTAGGGATGGAAACTTGTTTTTATAACAGGGCCTTTTGTACTGTTTGATCCTTTTACCACATGACACATTTGATTACTTTTTCAGTTAATGTGTGTGAAACAAGTCAGACAGAGCCTCTGCCTGTTCACCGCATCTCACCTTCCTTCCCTGGCCAGCCTGTCCCTCTGCCTCTGTGCGTCAGCGTCAGCATCAGCATACCCCAGGGGTGCTTCTCTGTGGTGCCTGTCTAGCCGGCTGCCTGTCACAACGCACCTTGCCTGAAGAGTCTTTCCCTGTCTGGCCACCAGGGAGCAGCCCACACCCAAGACCTGCCTTGAGCTGGCCAGGGACAGGGAGGCAGGCAGGTTACCCTGAGGGCCAAGGCTACCAGCAGGCTTTCAGCTCCAATACCCCTTTACCCAGGGTTCCTGGGTTAGAACACAGCACAATCCCATCCAGGGAAGGTGGTGATGAAACTGTCCCCTCTCTATAAAGAGTAAGGGTGGGTCTATAAAGGCTGGGACTCCCCAAGCTGAGCAGGCCCCAGGCCATCCTCTTCCATGCTGGTTCTGGGACCTCAAGATGAGAGGCATTCCGGGCTGGAGTCCAGGGATTAGGGATCAAGGTAAAGGGCATGTCCCTAAAACCCAGGAACAATGGATCCACCCTGTCCCCTGCCCTCCACCCCAGTGCTCTGAGACTTCCCACACACTCCATGGTTAACCATTCCTGGCCAGCACATGTTTAGCTGGCTAGGCTGGAAGCAACCCAAGGTCACTCGATCTTGAGAACTGAGCTTAGTCAAGGACCCACTGGCACTGCTTCCTTCCCAGCTCCTGGTGACCAGACAGGGAGGAATGTCTCCCCAAGGAAACACTAGTCCTCTCTCCTCTTCCATTTCATCGGGGTTATATACCATAAAAGCTTACTGATTTAAAATATACAATCAGTGGTTTCTAGTATAGTCACAGAACTGGGCAACCAACACCAGTCTAACTTCACATTTTCACCATCCTAAATAGAAACCCAGTACCCATTTTAACCTTTTCTCCTGGTCCCACCCAATGTCCAATTCTAGGCAACCACCAATTTATTAATAATTTACTTTCTGTCTCTATGGATTTGTTTATTCTGGACAGTTCACATGAATGGAGTCACACAATATGTGGTCTTCTATGTCTGGCTTCTTTCACTTAGAAAACATTTTTGAGGTTCATTATAGCATGTATCAACAACTCATTCCTTTTTATTCTAGAATATCTATTGTGCAGCTATGCCTACCACCTTTTAACCATACATCAGCTGGGGGATATTCGGACTATTTCTATCGTAGCATTCCCTTTTTTATTTATTTTTAAAAATTTTTGCTACAGGGCCTGTGCACTTGCTGGAGAGACAGAAAGTGAGAAGTCACCCCCCCAAGAGCGATGGCCATGTCTGCAATCCCGTCTCCATTCTCCTCTTGGGAGTTTGGGACACATGCACACACACCCAGTGTGAATTTTAAGCTGCGGGGTCTGAGACTTGAACCACAGTCGACTACATGGGAGTCCAGTGATGTAACCATTACGCCATTTGCTGATCCCCTTGGGGGTGTTATGAATAGTGCTGTTAAGAACACGTATGGGGACCACTGTGCCATCCTCTGGCCCATGCATTTTAAAAAAAAAAGAATCGCTTATCTAATTTTATTTATCACTATTATTACTTTTAAAAATTTACTGCAGAGCACATGCACTCACCAGAGACAGAGAAAGAAAGTGAGATAGCAAGTCATTAGGTCAGGGACTTGAACTGCGGTCAGGTGGGTGGGAATCCAGTGCCTTAAGTACCATGCCACCTGCTGGCTCCTAGATGTGTTTCTTAATCTTCTCTTTAATCACTTGCACTTTGAGTGTCATATCTAAAAATCATTGTCTAACTTGTGCTTATGAGAATGTAATTTTTTGGTTTCTCTTAAGAGCTTCCTAGTTGTAGATCTTCTATCTATTTATTTGTTTTTAGAGAGATTTTTGCTATAGGACACGTACGCTCACCAGATACAGAAAGTGAGAAATCACCCCCCAGGGAGCATGGCCACACCACAATCCCTTCTCCTCCATTCTCTTCTTGGCATTTCGGGCATGCATGCACACGTGCCTGGTGTGTTTCAAGCCACTGGGTCTGGGACTCAAACCAGAGCTGGCCATGGGGGAGTCCAGCACCTCAACCACTATGCCACCTGCTGGCCTCTCTTCTATCTATTCTTACTAGGCCTCCCTTTTTGAGAGAAGGCCAGAGGCTAACAGAGCTCATCGACCAGAATGTCCACCGTTTATTTGAGGAGCCAGGTGGGAGTAGAGCACCCCAGAGCCTACTCCAGAGGCAGGGGGCACTGTGAGGGAAGAGGGTTTCCGGCCATGGTCTGGTAAGGAACATGAATGAACTAGGTATTGAACCCTTCCTCACCCTGCAGAGCAATGGTTAGCCTGCACTCACGTTCTGAGTGGCCCCTGCTGAGAGAAGGCAGAGGGAGGGCACGGAGGAAGAATGTGGGTGACTGACAAGTGAGGACTGAGGACAGACGAAGGCCAGCCAGTCCAGTCCGCCTCCCTGGACGTCTGCCCAGCCAGCTCAGCACCTCACATTCCCCAGCTGCCCTGAGGAACCCACGCTGAGCCTCCACTCAGTACCAAAGCCAAGTGCAACAGGGCTCAAGACAGCTGGACTGTGGAGCCCCGGGGAGCATGCGTGGAGGAGACGGTGGGCACAGGCCAAAGCCCGTCTTCCCCTAGCTGATGGGATGTGCGGAGAGAGAAGGGGAGGCAAAGACGGAGCCTCCTAGTCCCTTCTCCCCCACGGACAGTGTCTGCAAGGTTACCTTGGCTCGGAAGAGTAGGAAGGCGCCTGGGAAACTTGAGATAAGGTGGGAATTTCACAAACTAACTGCCCAGCCAGGGTCACTGCAGCTGCAGCCTTTGGTTAGAAAGCTGATTGCTGGAGGAGGGAGGGGAGCACGGGGTCTTAAATAGGCTTGAGAGGGCCAAGCCCAGAGGGACGCAGGGCTGCGAGCCAGACAAGCAGCCTCCTGGGAGAGTCAAACACACTTTATTCAGCACAGGAATGTCTGAACAGAAGGGCGTCGGCAGGGCTCCATGACAGAGAACTAGCCTTCGGACCCCACTGTGAACAGAGCAAAGCCCATCATGTAGACTAGGGACACGAGGAGAGGGGTCTGCACAAAGTCTGGGTCAAGCCACGGTGGGCCAGCCCAGCCACAGAGGGTCCAGCAAGCAGCTCTCAGTACCTCACTCAGAAAAGCCACAGTGGGGGGGTGGGGACACAGGCCAGGTCAGTTCGGGGTATCAGTGTGACAGTGAGGGTGGTGGGATGAATTTAGCTGCGCCATCACATGATTAGAGGGCCTTGGGAGCCATGGCCCAGAGCAGGGGACAGGGAGGTGGCCCCAAGCAGGACTGTGCAGCTCTCACAAGCATGTGTGCACTGCCTGGCAACCCATGGACACCATCTCTGTCTAGGGCACCACTCCTGAGACCTGGGGTCCGTGTGGAAGCAGCACTGTGGGCAGACCCAGCCTTGGTGACATCAGCCTTGCACTCGGGATGTCATGATTGGGGTGGGATGGGGCTCAGGGTCTCCACCAGGGAAGAGCAGCACGTCCAGAGGGGCAAGCTTGTGGGCAAGACCTGGGAGGGAAGGAAGCGGGGGTGCTGAGAGGGACCTCTGTGCTGGGCATGCCCGACTGCGCCAGTACGAAAGGGAGGGAAGTGGGGAGTGCAGGGTGAGGGTCAAGGCAGAGGTCTTGGGTACCCTGGAACTCTTGCTGGTGACAGTGAGAAGTCGCCCATGATGGTCCAGTGAGTCCAGTTGAATTCCTGACTAACAAGCACTGGAGAGGGCCGGGCAAAGGACAAAAGTAGCATCTTCCTGTCCCCGCCCCTGCTAACTAGGAGAGGGCATGTTACAGAGGACCCCCTTCTGAGAGCCCCGTGGATGCCCATCAGGGGCTGCGGAGCAGGAACAAGGGCTGAGTGTGGATGTGGCCCGTGTCAGTGCTCCTCCCGGCCAGGGTGAGGCAGGGAAGCCCGAGGGCTCTGGGCTCACACGTGGAGGATGGGGTGGAGGGCTGCCTTTGGCTGGCTGGTGCCCAAGGGGTAGGAGACAGGGTCGGAGTCCAGCTTCTCTCTGACTCACACAGCTGGGGTGGTGGGAGACCAAGGAGGGCCGCTTCTATCTGAATGACTCACACACAGCTGGAGGAAGGTGGCAAGGGTGACACAAATGCCCTGGTGCCAGGGTTCACGACCAGCAGGCAGAAGGAACACGGCTAACTAATCACTGTGGAGGGAGCAGGGAGGGTGGTCTGGTGCACGGCGCCCCACCGGGGTTCACTCATCAAACTTCCCTTCCCGAATGTGCTCGAAGGAAAAGGGCAGGAACTTGAAACCGGTCCCGCTGTAGAATTTATTCTGGAATTCGACCCTGGAGAGGAGAGAAAGGAAAGTTGTCATTTCACAGAACTCCTTGGGGCTTCCCAGTTGGGCCAGAAAAGTACCCCAGGGCCCGCCTTCCCCAAGCCTCACTTTCCTAGAGAGCTTGCGGACACCCAGATCTGGGCCTGGGCCCCCAGCTCCTGCATGAGCTCCTAGCCAGAGGTTAGTGGGGGCTGTTTGGAGTGTCCCCTCTCTGGCTCTGTCCTGCTGAGCACGTTTGTCTGCATAAAGCTCTTTGTAGAGTCACCTGCTCAAACCGTTAGGTTGGCTTGAGTCTCTGTAACAACGAAGTCGATGAAATGTATCCCCCGCCAGGGGCTCACACAGCCCCCCTCTGAGGAGGCTCCTGGAGGAGCTCTGGTGAATACCATGTATTCTTGTTTCTTTTCCTACGAGGAAGGAGAAGCGGGCTTCTGAGTGTCAGAGGCTTTTGACTCAGGGAGGAAATTCCCAGGAACGCGGGGGAGCTTAAGAGGAGAAGGCTTTTCAAAAAAATGGCAAAAATATTCTCCAAACATAAAAACATCTGAGAAGGAATTCTTCTCTTGGGGACTGAAAGGAAAAACAGAGCCTGGACTCCCTCCCAGGCAGCCCAGTGTCCACCCGATGGTCTCCTTGGGACCCTTCCAACTCCGAGGGGCAGGAAGAAGACTTTGCTCCTTAGCAGAGTGGACAGCCTGCCTGGCTGGGCTTCCTCCTGCAAGCTTCCTTCTCCTGGAGGGCTGCCCAGCAACCAATCACCACCAAATATGGGCAGAAAAGTGCCTGCTAAAAAGCAAGGGCAAAGAAGCTGACGAGCTGCTCTGAGGAATAGTTTCCACTCGGGGCTGTGTGACCCTGGGCACCGGAACCCCTGCGAAAATGGGGGGTGGGTGGGCTGTGGCAGGCTCCAGGTTTGAGGCTTTAAGAGCTTTAAGGCCTCAAGAGCCCAATGTTCCCTCGGTCTCTCTGCAGCCTTCAGCAAGGGCTTCCACCCTCCAAGCCACGACGGCAGGAAATAGAAAACAGGGTGAGAAGCAACCGGGCAGAGTTGGGGGTCCTCCGAGGTCCCTTCAGCCCTGGGATGCTGGCTGAGGACTCTAAGTGGCAGAGCAACCACCTCTACTCCCCAAGAAGAGTGAAGCAGGCTTTTCTGTGTGGGAGTAAGAACAGGTGTTCCACTGGGGTGCAGCTGCCACGCCCTGGGCAGAACTCCCCAGGGCAAAGAGGATCGAGGAGAGGGGGCTGGATGCAGCTTCCACCTCAAGGGAGTTACGAGTTCCAGTGAGAGCAACGCCACACTCCAGATGAGACCTGGATGTACCCACGTCCCCATCCCCACAAGACGTCCTACAAGTTCCAGCCACTGGGGCAGAAGCCACCATGTTCCCGGCTGGAACTTGTAGGACGTCTTGTGGGGATGGGGACGTGGGATATACATGTCCTCTTCTCAGCTGACAGCACATAGCCAGACCGTGGACATGTCACCCGAGGGCCCTGGCCCAGGCCTTGGTGAGACATGTTGCCTCCAGGCCAGGGAGGGCCCCAGAATGCTGCCCCCAGGCTGGCTCATCACACAGATGGTTCTAGTCTCCAAACTGGGCACATGCAGTAAAGCTTTGTTTTCAAATGTCTGTGGGGTCACCCCCCTTTTCTGAGCACCCTTCATCTATCCATGGGGCCTAGTGGGGAGGAAGACGGACATATGCCTGGGGTGGGCTGCACAAATTCTGCTGTGTGTGCAGACAGGTGGTCCCTCTGATACAGGCCTGACCCCACCTCTCCCATCGGCTGCTGCTCTAGGTTAGCGACTTACTTGGCCACAACCAAGGACCTCTTGGGTCAGTCTCTCCCAGGGTGAGATTGACCGCATCATCCCCCCCAGCTGGGAAATGTTGCTTCCTATAGAACACAGACATGAAGTTCCCTGCGCCAGGGCGGGTGCCCTGCACGTTCTTCCTTTCTGGCCCTCCACAGCTCTGCTCAGGAAACCCAGGGCCCCTGCACACTGCAGCCAGTAAAACACACCCCTAGACTCCAAGAGTTGTGAGGGTTCAGGAAATTGGATGGGGTTCTCTGCCACCCCTTCCAACTCAAGTCCCTGGCAAAGGCCACCCAGTGGCCCAGGGTGACTAATGGGGAGACTGAAAGAGGTCAAGCCTGCCATGTAACAGGAAACCTGGTTTCCTTGAGTGGGTGAAGGAGGAGGGAGTTCTGGAACTTCCTTCCTTTCCTGGAGGGGTGACGGAGGGCGGCAGTTTGGAGACAACACTGGGCTGAGCTGCTTGTCCAGCCCTTTCTGCCGCTCTCTGAGTAGCTCAGGGCCATAGCGCACGCCCGACGGCCCAGTGTAAGGGCAATGAGGTAAGCCTGGACGCACACTTCAGGCCTTCTCCCTTGCCCTGGCCAGTCATTCCCTAGCTACTCCACGCGTGCATGCTGTGGCAACACGTATTCCTTACAGCAGGTCCTGGTTCTGTTCCTTTAACCATCAAGCAGTCCAAGAGTGCAGAGGTGTGCACGTCCAAGCGTGTGGAATCCGCTCGGTTCCTTGGGAGGTAAGCCATGGGGCAGGAGCCTTTCTGCATACCCATCAGTTTCGTATCCACTATCATATCCAGGCCTTATGTCTTCTCTGAGGATGGAGAGCTGTCTAATGATAGGCAAGAAAGCCAAGCACTCTTTATAAGCCTGAGGAGCGAAGTGGGGGAGGGAGGGAAGCGGCACGTAACTCAGGAGGAGACGAATGAGCAGATCAGCACACTAACCTGCTCGCTGTGTTTTCAAATGTCACCCACCTCTCATGACCTCACAGGAATTGCAAACTAGTGGTTCATGTTGTAGAAGGCCGCATATTAGATCTTGCACATGAGCAACTGTTTGTCCTTTTTGTTCCCTTACCCTTACATGGCTGTCTGCTTCTGTAAACCTGCTTGCTCTTCCCATGAGAAAACAGCCTGTGCCAGCCATACAGAAAACCGCATGGGGTGACATCCTGTACCTGTTACTGTCTTTGCTAACTAGCCAGAAACCCTTTTGTTTAGCTGTTCCTTAACAATGTAACTATCAATCACCAGACCCCTGCCTGGAGCCATGGAGACCACTACACAAAGGTCTAGAGAGTGCCCTCAGAAATAATTAATTAACCTGCGGGACCAGCAGTTGGCGTAATTGCTACGTCGCTGGACTCCCATGGAGGCGACCATGGTTCGAGTCCCAGACATGGTGGCTTAAACTCACGCCGGGCGCATGTGCATGTGTGCCTAAGATCCCCAGACAAGAATGGAGGAGAAGGGATTGCGGCATGGCGATCCGCCCCCCCTGGAGGGGGGTGATTTCTCACTTTCTAGCTCTGTCTTTCTGGTGAGCACACATGCCCTATAGCAAAAACCACTCCAAAAGAAAAAAAAAGAAATAATTAACTTGTTTGATTCAGGTTCTGTAACTACTTGCATGGAAACCCCCTGTTAACTGAGCCCCTATAAAAAGACTGCTCAAAGTTCGGTTGGGACTGAGTTCTGACTCTAAGCCCCCTGAGCCTCAGGCTGTAGTCGCTGGCCAGCTAATAAAGACTCCCTTTAACCTTAATTTGACTTTGGTGGTCATTCATTCGGTTGCATTCTACAACGCTCGTTATAAAATCAAACTTTTTTTTTTTTAATCTCCACAGAAGCAATCCAGAACTTATGCAACGGGGCAGCCCTTGAATCTAGAAACACCAGCTCAATACCTGGAGTAAAGCGAGAGGTTTGAAGACGTCCAGGCCAAATGCAGACAAAATCGCAGCAATACCCCCGCGGCCATCTTCAGCACCACCAGCTATTCCCACCCCCTCGTAAGACAGCCACCACCCAGAACCGCAATCCTAGAGAATGGAGGGCCCGGGGAACCTGGGACATACAGCCACATGTGGCCAGGAGGGGGCGCACATGTACTAATTTCATTCACACCTTTTTCCACGGTGGGTGATGCCCCAGTCAAGGAACAGGGGCCTCCCCCCAAGGGCAGGATACTTCCACCCAGTACTTCCACCACATACATACATACATACATATATACACATGTAAGTAGATAAACACATAAACATACACCATGAATGGCAGGCCCACTCCTTGCAAGCAACACCCAATGGGCATTCGGATGGGATCACGTGCCTCCTTTTGGGGGTTCTCCTCTGCACAGGCTAAAATCAGTTTCTTGGTGTGGGAACCTGGCCAGATGCCCTCTCTACAGATCATCCCACTCTGAAACAGAGCAGCCATGGTCTGTCCTTGAACTCCTGTCTATGATGTGCAGGGCACGGTGACAGACCCTTGGTGTAGGCCTCATCTCCCACCTACTCACAGTAACCTTGTCACGTGGATATTGTCCTCTTTCCATGTGACAGAAATAGAGGCTCAGAGTGATGAGTGCTCAGCTTGGGAGCCACTGCTGCATGTAGCTGAGCTGGGATTCAAATCCATTCAAATCTGCTCAGGACCAACAGATGGCATAACAGTTATGTCACTGGACTCCCACATGGGTGACTGTGGTTTGAATCCTGGACCCAGAGGCTTGAAACTCATGCCAGGCACTTGTGTGTGTGTGTCCAAAAATCTCAAAAGAATGTAGGAGAGGGGACTGTGGCATGGCCACTCCCCTGGGGGGGGTAATTTCTCATTTTCTGTCTCCTTCTCTCCAGCAAGCACACGTGCCCCATAGCAAAAACCTTTCTAAAACACAGGATATCCATGGCTACCTCAGCTCGCTCTCGTGGAGCCCACAGCCAGGTGCCCTTCCTCATGATGTGAGGTACCCGGGCTTGCTCTAGCACCTTGGCTGCTCATCACCCTGCCCAGGGAACTGGCAGCCACCTCCCATAGGGGCTGAAGTCAAGGTGGGTAATCACTATTCCCTCCAGTCCAGAGACCAGGAGACACAGTGAATCAGGAAGGAGCCATGAGGGCAAGAGGTGGTGAGTCCACAGGCTGGTTACCCGGATGTTCCCACATGCCTAGTGTCTGGGGAGAGCGCTGGCGACAAGCAGAGAGCCAGCATCGGAAACACCAGCACTCTAACCTCCAGGTAGACAGCCAGCAAAGAGCTGGTGAGGTGGGCAGGCAGGGAGCATCAGGCTTGGGAAAGCCGGGTTCCTGACAGAAGGATGACTTCTTAGGGTGCTCTGCAGGCCAGGCCCTTACACGCTTCTTTTCTCTCCCATATGTTAGAATCAGAGCGCAATCTTAGAGGAGGCTCATCTGTAACCTGGCCGGGAGAAAAAACAAAGGCAAAGGGAAGTAGGAAAAAGTTTCTCAGGTCCAGGGCTTGCGTTTTCCCTGATTTGGAGAATCAAGAGAGGTTCCTGGTTGAAGCAGCCCTCTCTGGCTGGGGGCCACCTTGTCTAGAGGTGCCTAAGGCAGGTCAGTAGGTTTATGACCCCAGTACTTGCAGAACGATGTTGCAAGAGGTGAGGGTCCTCTGGGGAGAGGGCCCCCAGCCTCCAGAGACAATAGGATTTTGG